GCAAAGCAGTGTTTATCCCGAATGCTAGACCTGGACGCCCTGCTCCTTGAGGAGTTTAAAGGAGTATCTTGCCCTGGGGTTTACGCTGGTATGCTTGCCTCATCTTTCACACGTCCTCTGATGGCAAGAAGCCATCAGAGCCACACAGCCAGAGGCAAATTCTTAGTCAGTAGCCTTGTACCTACGGTATCCCCATCTCACTGTTTGGTTTACAAAACTGACCTCTTTGGAAAGGAAGACTTTAATAGCACCCAAAGGTCCAGAGTTTCTTTTATTTCTTAGTAACTCACTTTCCTGGGCATGGCCATCTTTCAGAACAGAGACCTACAAATCGGAAACTCCCTAAGAAGAAATAAATACTACTTTGTCATTAGTAACCAACAAGTAAATAAATAAATAAATAAATAAGACTTACAAAGGCTTCTTCATTATTTAAAGATGTTTAAAATGGAATTCATATAACAAACCTAATCACTTAGGAGTCAACAGAACTGTTTGGGGACATTTAGTGTTCTGAAATGTGACTATCACTACCTCCAGTTCTCAAACATTTCCATTGTTCTAAATAAATCCCTGTATCATTGAACAGTCCCCTATGTTTTCAAGCAGCCTCCAGCCTTGTTGTCTTCATAGATTTACCTATTTTGGGTGTTTCATCTAAATGTAATCATAGTTGACTTTTTTGTGTATGGCTGCCATTTTATTTTTTTTTTGTTTTTTTGGTTTTTTTTTTGTTTTTGTTTTTTTGAGTCAGAGTTTCTCTGTATTGCTTTGGAGGTTGTCCTGGAACTGGATCTATAGACCAGGCTGGCCTCGACCTCACAGAGATCTGCCTGTCTCTGCCTCACAAGTACTGGGATTAAAGGCATGTGCCACCAACTCCTGGCGGCTGCCATGTTTTTAATATTGAGGCATGTCCAAATTTCATTCTATTTTTGTCTGAATAATACAGAGATTTTTTTTTGGTTTTTTCGAGACAGGGTTTCTCTGTGGCTTTGGAGGCTGTCCTGGAACTCGCTTGGTAGTCCAGGCTGGTCTTGAACTCACAGAGATCCACCTGCCTCTGCCTCCCGAGTGCTGGGATTAAAGGCGTGCGCCACCAACGCCCGGCAATACAGAGATTTTAATCCAGTTGATGGCCATGTAGGCTGTTTCCATGTAGTATGATGTTTTAGTCTTTTGATTTTTTGGACTCTTTGAGAGGCTCACCACAAAGCTCCCACATCAATCACAGGAATGCCTGGCCTTAGCTTGGCTTGTTTCTTGCCAGCTTTTCTTAACTTAAGTTATCCCATTTATCTTTGGCTCCAGGGCTTTTATCTTTATTCTTGTATATCTTTTCTTTCCTTCTTCCTATGTGTCTGACTGTGCAGCTCAGTGGCTGGTCCCTATAATCCCTGTCCTTCCTCTCTTGCAATCAGATGTCTCCTCATATTCACCCTCTCTGCCTGCTGGCCCCACCCATCCTTGCTCCTGCTTCACTATTGGCCGTTCAGCTCTCTATTAGGGTCATCGGGTGTTTTAGACAGGTCCAGTAACACAGCTTCACAGTTAAACAAATGCGCTATAAATAAAAGTAGCATGCCTAAAAATAATATTCCCCAGCATTTCCGTCTCTTTGTCACTATAACTGCTACTGCAAGCCCGGTCTTCACTGTAAACCTGCTTCTGTTTCTGTGAATCGTTGACCCACGTAGAATCCCTGGGTTGTGTGGTGATCCTGAAATTTTTGGGGAGTAACCCAAGTCTGGAGCTGAACCCAGTTTACATTCCCTCCAGCAGTGCAGAGGTGCTGAACCCCTGCGTCCTGGCTGTCAGCTGTGGTTTCCTTTAATAAAAGCCTTGCAGTACATTTTTTTTTTTTGGTTTTTCGAGACAGGGTTTCTCTGTGGCTTTGGAGGCTGTCCTGGAACTCGCTCTGTAGACCAGGCTGGTCTCGAACTCACAAAGATCCGCCTGCCTCTGCCTCCGGAGTGCTGGGATTAAAGGCGTGTGCCACCAACACCCGGCCTTGCAGTACATTCTTATCCCTGAATTCTGGCTGACCCTTTTTTTGTAGCTTCTCTCTCATTAGACCTTGACTAAGTCAGATAATCACTGGCAGATTTCCTTCTGTCTCCCTTGTATCTCTAAATCTCTGAAGGAAGGGTCTTATGACTCCAGGTATTCCAATTTATCCACACAATGACAGGTGGTTGCTGTTTTTGTTTGTTTTGCCTTGTTTTTGAACTAGGGTGGGCTATGTAGCAGAGGATGGCCTTGAATTTATAATCCTCCTGCTTCAGCTTCCAAAATTTTAGATTATAGGCATGTATCACCACACCTGTCGATAAGAGTTTTTATTGTTGTTTCCATTAACTTCCTTCTTCTTTGCTTTCTGCCCACAAGAATGCCAGACACCCTATCCCGGGGCATGGACTGGCTTTTTTTGGAGCCTACTCCCTATTGTGGGTTACCTTGCTCTGCCTTGATACAGGGGGAAGGGGCCTGGTCCTGCCTCAACTCGGTGTGCCAAACATCCTGACTTCCCAAGGAAGGCCTTATCTCCTTTGAGGAGTGGATGGAGGTGGGATGGGGAGACTGGGAGGTGGGGGGAAGGGAGGGAGGGGGAATTGGGGTTCGTATGTAAAATGAAAAGTATTTTTTAATGAAAAAAAAAAAGAATGCTGCCAGGCGGTGGTGGTGCAGGCTTTTAATCCCAGCCCTCGGGGGAGGCAGAGGCAGGCGGATCTCTGTGAGTTGGAGGCCAGCCTGGTCTACAAAGTGAATTCCAGGACAGCCTCCAAAGCAATACAGAGAAACCCTGTCTCGAAAAACAAAAAACAAAAAACAAAAAACCAGCTTCACCTTGTCTAAAACCAGGAAAACAAGACACTAGCCTGATATGGGTGGATGGAAGGAAGTTGTTTTTGCTGATAGCTAAGTGTGCACAGGTGTTGATGATGTCATCCTCAGGTCATGTGGCACACACACTTGGATAGCATTCCATCCATATCTCAACCAAGCCCTGAAGACAAAATCCTCAGGAACATTTTGCTCCAGGGCATGCGTTTTGGGAGACTGACTATAGTGTTCCTCCTCAGTTATCTTCTTTATTGGAAAGAAATGCCACTTTTTGGGGGCAGCTAAAGAGATGTCATATTGAAATTATCAGAAAACTGGGCATGGTGGCATATCCTTGGAATCCCTGCACTGGGGAGGCAGACACAGGTGCATCTACTCTGTGTCCCTCTGGGCTCCTTAGTTAGACCACCTTCAAAAAAAACAAAAGAAAACAGTAATTGAACATGACATTGTATTTTAGCATTAAGAAGATGTTGACGCTGTTCCTATGTTAAAGATTTCTTTACAGGTGTCAAAGATCTTTCTGAGATCTATGAAGCATTTAAAAACATGTATCTGGATATTATCAGTAATACAATAGGTATCAGTAGAAATCATGTATAATATTTTGCCTTTACATAAGTATAGAAGAGACAGCATGCTGACCACACTTCGGTAGCAGATACTGTGAAGGTTGCCTTGGTAGAGCCAATAAAATATCTCAAACCTTAAAATCATGTGTTTGACATGACCATATAAAATTGTTTATTTTAATGTCTTAAACTTTCAGGAACCACTCAAGTTTAGGGAAGGCAATTTGGAAAACAATATAGGGAATTTGATTTTTTAAAATTATTTCTCTAAGCCGGGCGTTGGTGGCGCACGCCTTTAATCCCAACACTCGGGAGGCAGAGGCAGGCAGATCTCTGTGAGTTCGAGGCCAGGCTAGACCGACAGCGTCCAAAACAGAGAAACCCTGTCTCGTAAAAAACCAAAAAAAAATTATTTCTCTAATCCTTCCTAATTGTATTTAAACAGACCCTGGAGAAGGAAAGAGTTCAGACCAAAGATCTAGCTAGGTTGCTGTCACTGACAGCATGGGACTGTCATGGGTTGATGACAGTTATGGGAAGGCTGACAGGTAAGGGACTCATGTGTTTCAGGCTCTAGACCCTAACATGGCTACTGACCTGGTCATGTTTAAGGCAGACTTCAGTCCCAAAATGGAGTGTGAGGAAAACATCTCTTGGTGCTTAGGAGGCCATTCTGAGTGCTGGGCTGTGTGACTTGGGGGCAAAGGCCAGCTGGAGAGAATTCAGAGCTGTCATCAGTGGAGTCTGCTGAAGCCATCCTTGAGAATCCTTGGTCCATCTGGGCCTGCAGCCTCCCTTCTCTGTTCCCCTCTGGGTCAGAGGCACACCCGTCACTCCTCTCTCTGCAGAAACTAGAGGAAATCCTAACCGATGCGCTAGAGTTCTCTTAGAGCATCACCCAGGGGATGGGGAAGGACAAGAGCCCTTAGAACTCAGCTTTCTGACTGTGCTGGTGGCACACGCCTGCAATCCCTTCCACAGGAGGATTGGGACTCCAGGGAAGTGGAGGCTAGGCAGAAAGCAGTTTTCAAAAAATATACAACATTGATTTGCCACCTTCAGTTTGGGTAGGCTGTTTTTGATGAACCCTCCAGGGCTATGGAGGCACAGCAATTATATCCACGAACTCGGACCAAGTCAGGTAGAGAGAGGTGTTAAGGGATTTTCTTCAAATCCCACAGTTACTAAGGAGGAAGGTGAGTCAAACAAAGGTGTGTCCAACTTCAGCTAATTCCGAGGCACAACTCTTTCCCAACTTCGCTTCTCGCAAAGTTTAGCTAAAAACGTAACCTCGGTGAATGAAATGAATTCCCTTGTTATGCTCGCGCCTTTCACAGAGAATGCTTGGGGGTATGCATTGCTACGCTTTGCATAACACACTGGCATCGCACAGCTCCACTCAGTGGGCCAAACTGCACAGCCGCCTCGCCTCGCCTCGCCTCGGAGGATCCAGCATCCCGGGCCTCCGAGCCCCGCCCCGGGCCTCCGAGCCCCGCCCCGCCCTCCTCCCTCCAACTCCGCCCCGGCCTCCAGGCTCCACCCCGGCCTCCAGGCCCCGCCTCCGTGCCCAGGATGCACCTGGATGAAAACAAAGTCCCACGTGACTGGCCCTGCGCTCAGGCCATCATGGCGTCTCCCAGTGGGAAGGGATCCTGGACGCCCGAGGCTCCTGGCTTCGGGCCGCGCGCGCTACCTCAGGACCTGGTGGACTCGGTGGACGACGCCGAGGGGCTGTATGTGGCGGTCGAGCGCTGTCCGCTGTGCAACACCACTCGCCGGCGGTTGACTTGCGCCAAGTGCGTCCAGAGCGGTGATTTCGTCTATTTCGACGGCCGCGACAAGGAGAGGTACGGCGGCCGCCACGGCCCTATTGTCTCTGCCTCTGTGTTTGCTCTGCCCCAGCGACCAGAGGCCGGAGCCCGGACAGCCCAGTCCCGGCCCCCGAGCCCGGCGACTGTAGCTTTCTGCGCCGGCGCTTTGTTAAAGCTGGGCAGGGTGGGGGTGGGAGCCAGGTGAGCGAAGGTCGCTGTTCTCCATCACCCACCAGAGAGTTTGTCCACCGCCCTCTTGGGTTCTAGGGAAAGGGAAATAGTGTCCTTCTGGAGACGTCTCTGCTGCTGTGTGGAGGAGCCCCCGCTCTCTGCTGCATTCCCACTCAGAAGCTTGCTTTGGTCTTTTCCCATCTTCAGACGTCTGTGCTTTTCCACCCCAGGGACCGGCAGAGAGCTTAACTGGTCAGGAGGGATTGGGTCCTGGGCTCTGTGTCACAGGTGGACCTTGTCAGCTATCTCGAAGGTGTGAGCGAGGACTAGGAGGTTGCCTCATCTTCTGTAACCCCGGGTGATTTTGTGACACTGGGGATTTGGGAATGTGCTTTGAGTTGCAATGTGCCTTTAGTTAAAAGAATAGAGTTTGGTAAAATATTTAGACTTTCTTCTGAATTAATTTTTTTGTTTGTTAAATGAGACAGGGTTTCTCTGTATTGTTTTGGAACCTGTCCTGGAACTCGCTCTGGAGACCAGGCTGGCTTCGAACTCACAGAGATCCGCCTGCCTCTGCCTCTGTCTCTGCCTCTCAAGTGCTGGGATTAAAGGCGTACGCCACCAACGCCCTGCAGAATTAAGATAATTGAAAAATTGAATGCATAGCCGAAGAATCTTTGCCTCCTAACTTTGTTTCAACAATGAGTTTCAAATGATAGTAAAACAGGTAATTTTTGTTTGCTTGATTTTTTTTTTGTTTGTTTTTCTTGAGAGAGTGCCACACTATGTAGCTTTGGCTGTTCTGGAACTCACTATATAGACCAGGCTGGCCTGGCTCACAGCGATCTACCTGCTTCTGCCTCCCAAGTGCTGAAATTAAAGGCATGTGTCACTATGCCTACATAAGACAGGTATTTTTTTCTTGCATTGAAGTTGGAGAATTTATTCCTTTATAGCAACCACGTAAGTTATCTCCAACTGACTTGTGCTGAGGAAATTTGTACATTAGTCAGTGCCTTGACCCCGGGGTCACACAGAATTTAAACCCAAACACCTGGGTCCACATACCTGTGCATTTAACTGCTAAACTATATAACATGGAGATTTGGGGATGTTTTGAGTTCTCAGTAGTCCTGTGATCGTGGGTGGGGCTCATTCCTTTTTCTTTTGAAGATATTGGTGTAACAAAATCTTTTTAGTTCACTGCTGTGCTTTACGGATGGTTTGATGATTTTAGATCATGGGCTGCTGCCCCAAGTGACGGCTCTAAAAATTAAACCAGTTCTCTGTTAAGAATGCCAGGTAGGAGGTGGGAATATCTCGTTGTTGAGCCTTACCAAGTATTTAGCATCTACACTTTCCAAGATTTATTCTTGTTTTGTTTTGTTTTGTTTTGTTTTTTTTTTTTTGGTTTTTCGAGACAGGGTTTCTCTGTGGCTTTGGAGGCTGTCCTGGAACTCACTTGGTAGTCCAGGCTGGTCTCGAACTCACAGAGATCCGCCTGCCTCTGCCTCCCGAGTGCTGGGATTAAAGGCGTGCGCCACCAACGCCCGGCTTGCCCAAGATTTATTCTTGTAATCTTAGTAGTGTCTAGATGTTGAAGATGGCCAGAACACAGCTGCTCAACATCTGTATTTGATTTCCCCCCCTCTTTTCATCGCCTGTATTTTAAGTTTGTGATAGTTAATCTTTGTTTTAACATGACAATCTGAACTTTTAATTTTCCATTAAAAAATCTGTTTTTCACATCTCACTACGGTAAATTGCAACACCATCCTTTATTCAGGCCCAAAACAAGCTAAACCCCTTCCAGTCCTCATTAAGGCACCTTTTCTAATCCCATCTACAAATTCTGTCTCTTCAAAGTCTGCCCTGAATCTTGTCCTTTCATCGTACAGTCTAAGCCACTGGAGCTCACTCTGTAGACCAGGCTGCTGGTGAACTCAGAGCTCACTCTGTAGACCAGGCTGCTGGTGAACTCAGAGCTCACTCTGTAAACCAGGCTGCTGGTGAACTCTGCGCTGTCTCCCAGGGTTAGAGCTAAAGGTGTGCACCACCATGCCCAGCCCTCTCGCAGCATTTCACACATACTCATTCTTGTATCTTGTGTCTCCTCCCTTCCCTGAGCTCCCACTCACTTTCACTTCAACTTTTCTGCTGTCATTGTTCTTTTTCCAAGATGATATCACGAGTTATGTCACCCTCCACTCCATATCCTAAAGCCTCAGTCGAGGGGGGCCCACCCCTCCCACCCCCGCCCCATGAACTCCTTTCTGGTTTTTGGTTCTCAGTTCGAGAGAGCAAGAGCCAGTGTGTGTGTGCGCGCACGCCGGGATCTGCATATGAGTGAGAGTATTCAATATTTGTCTTTCTGTGACAGTGTTACCTTAATACTGTATTCCATGCATTTTCCTCATACTTTCTATTTATGACCAAATAAAATCTCAATATGTATGCGTACTGTGTTTTCGTTATCTCTTGGTGGACATCTAGAGTGGTCACTTCTGAAGTTAAGTGTGACATCCTGATCGTCCTCTGCAAGGCTGTCACTTCCATCTTCCCGTTTGCTGTCACATCAGCCTGGTGATTTTGTGGTGACATGATGCCTCCTCCATGTGTAATGCTATTTGGGTAAAATGCCAGTACCCAAGATGGCTTTCCATGAAGACATAACTTCTTCTTTTGGGGGGAAGGAGTGTTTTTTGTTTATTTATTTATTTTTTTTTGAGACAGGATTTCTCTGTGTAACAGCCCTGGCTGTCCTGGAACTCACTCTGTAGACCAGGCCGGCCTCAGACTCAAAGAGATCCGCCTGCCTCTGCCACCTGAGTGCTGGGATTAAAGGTGTGAGCCACCACTGTTCGACTAGGCACAACTTCTTTTTCTGTCACATCATCAACTCAGTGGCAGGGGATAGCACATAGGCATGGTTGAGGTAGTACTACTTTTTTTTTTTTTCTTGGTGAGGTAGTACTACTTTTAAAACAGTCCTGGAAATGTGGCTGGGTGGTAGATGTTTTCCTGGTATGTGCAAAGCCTTCCTTTGATCTGTAGCATTGCAAATTAGCAAGCACAATCTTTCATAGAAATTCTTGACTGAGTATTAGGATGAATTTTCTGGAGGGGCGTGTTTAGAGTGGATCTCTTTCTCCTACTGAGCGGAAATGAAGAGCACGCCTCACCCGTTTGCACCTCACAGGACCACCACAGTGGCTTATTGGCAGCTTCCCTTCACTCCCATCCTCCTCTTTCTGGAGCTGTGTGTGCCTTCAGAAGCAGTGCGTCAGCCTTCCTGTGTTTCTAGGACATGACCCAGGGTGAAATAGGATGAAAGAGTTTCTTGAAAGCCAGCCCCCCTGGCCTGGTAGCCAGCTGTTTTTAGGTTTTCTTGTTGGATTCCAGTGCATGTATCAACTACCCTGCCAAGTCGCTGAGGAGAATGGCCAGCCTGCTCTCAAGGGTTTGACTCAAATTTAGAGCAAAGGTTGCTTGTGCTACTGTCTTCATTATCTGTAAATAGTTCTGTATTCTGTGCCCGCCTTTAGTCCCCTTTTCCTTTTAACTTCATGAAAAGCGTCTGGCTAAGGATCCACTTGGAAATAAAATCTGGTACACTTAAGCCCTCACAGTACAGCCCTTGTTTAACCTAGACCAGCTGAATATGTGGTTTTAATAGTTTGGCAATTAGGGAAAATTAGATAGTAAAGTTGTAGCTCTCATGGCAGTTAGGTCCTGTGAAAGAAATATGTGTCATTGTATTTTGGTTATAAGAAAGTGATCTGGAACTATGAAACCCAGGTTACTCCTGAATTTGGGTAGTCTCCCCGTCTTAGCCTGCCAAATGCCAAGATTCTGAGGTTATACAGGCATTAAACCCAGATAACATGTCTTTAGGTACTATTGGAGACGGTATGAGTCTGACAGACATGGAAAGAGTTCTTTTTATTGTTCAGGACACTGTTGGTCCCACCTTTGCCTTGCCTCTTGTCTGAAGCAGCACGGGTTTTACTCTCTGCCTTTCACTCACCCTTTAACTTGCACCTTCCCACGCAGGATGAAGAGGAACTCATCCCCTCACCACTCTGATAAGCAACAGTTCTCTCAGAAAGTCTTCTCTGCATCTGTGCTACTGGGTGTTTATGCTGTTTTAACAGGAGCCTAATTTTTCTGGATATGTGCTTATCTCACTCCCAAAATAGCACAGTTACGAAACAGAAAACTGACAGGTTGAGTAATGGTTTTCCTCTAACCTGGGAAGCACTTGTTGATCATTTCTCAGTAGGTAGAACACTAGGAGTGGGGGCATGGGCTGGGGCTCTGTCTGCTGAGCTAGGAGCAAGTGGTCTTCTAGTGGGGAGCAGAAAGACCTGACTTCTGCCATCTGGTGAGGCTTTTGTTTTTTGTTTTTTTGTTTGTGTGTTTGTTTTTGTTTTGTTTTTCGAGACAGGTTTTCCCTGTGGCTTTGGAGGATGTCCTGGAACTCGCTTGGTAGTCCAGGCTCGTCTCGAACTCACGGAGATCCGCCTGCCTCTGCCTCCCGAGTGCTGGGATTAAAGGCGTGTGCCACCAACGCCCGGCTCTGGTGAGGCTTTAGAAGTCCTTTCATAGGTACAATGCTGTGTTACCTTCACTGATAACTTAGAAATACAAGGTTACTTTTTTTTTTGTTTTGTCCAGATGCAGAAATATAGGGACTACCCAAATTGAGCTAGATTAAAGGGTTACCATAGATTTCAACGGAATGGCATGGCCAAACTGCATTTAGATACCTGTGTTCTTCCAGTATCTTCTTGGTTGTCCATCTCTGTCCTGTGGAAATAGTTTCTGAGGTGTTAGATGACTGGCTGACAGGAAAGAGTCTGTGT